TCTGTTTGGTTCATTCCCGGCCCCTTCTCCGCCTGTCCCCGTACTGGGCTGCCTGGCTGCCAGGGAAGGACACCGGCACGGCGACCACCACCACCCGCACGCCAGGGCCTCGCTCCCGAGCGCCGACGAGCCTGTCCCTGCCAGGCGGGCCGGGGTGGCAGCCCCTGTCCCCAAACACCGCACCTCAGCGCCCGTTTTTCTGCCAGTCGCCCATTGCCACCCGTTCCACTGCGTTCCCCGGCCATTTGCTGTGCCTCCTCCAGTGATGGCCTTTGTGGAAACATTCTGCAGATCCACATACACCGTATGATGCAAACTCTGCTCGAAGAGGTGTCCCTGGGAACCTGTTTTCTTCCTCCTTGCACCTCATCCAGCATCTTGGCTTCTTTGGTGCCTTCCCTTGGTACAGGAAGAACATCCCCTTCTGCTTAAAGAATGTGACATTGAAAGGCGGTTTCATATCTGCCAGGCCTGGCCAAGTTTGTAGTACATTCGCGGCGCCGAGTTCTAGTAATAGGGTAGATAAGGTAGTGATGCCAGAATAAACTAGTTTTGTGGAGACAGAAGCGTTGTAAACGGGCCAAGACATGAACTAATTGTGCACAGAAGAAAAGTTCAACTAATGGGCACAGTGACAAAAGTTTCTATGATCATCAGACCACCCCCAAAGACAACCAGTACACATGTGAAAAGGGACATTTACATATATTGATGAATTCCTAGAAATGTAATGAATATGCTTATAATTTCTTGGAAAAGTAATGAATATGCATGTTTTGATGGTATAAAGCTTTTGTAGAGAGATGAGTCGGCACGCAGGATAGGTGGAGTGATCCCCTGTGCATCCAGCGCTGCAATAAAGAACCTTCTTTCCAAAACTCCAAAATGAGTCTTAGAGAGTTTCCTCCTGTCGGCTTTTTCGGTATCACCCTGGAGCCAGCCCCGAGGTGGGCTCCATCCCTCCCGGCAGCCTGGTCACCCCATGCTCCTCGCTGCAGTCTTTGCCCATGAGGTCGGTGTGCCTGATGGCTCTGAGGTCCCTCTGAAGGGTCTCCCTGCACAGGGTGCTTCCCTCTCACTCCTGGGATGCTGGGCTGGGAATTCCTTCCCCACTGCTACTCCAGGAATGTTTCGGTCAAGACAAGTTTAAAGACTGCAGGAGGAATTAACCGCCTGAGTGTGCTGTGACGCTGACACGATACGTGTCACGTTAAACTGACACACTGACAGCCTGAAGGATAAAACCTGGTAGGATTCAGATCTTCCACCTTCTCAGACCATTAGCTGTGGTGGAAATTCCTTGGCAGTCCCTGCAGGTCTTGCAAGGCCTCTGCATTTTCAGATCTGAAACACTGGCTGCCACAAATGCTAGAAATCCCAAAATCAGAAAAAGCCTTTTATTACAGAAAAGGAGAAAGCTGATACAATTGTACAAGGGTCACAGTGAATTATGTCTCTCTTTTTTTTTTTTTTTTTTACCTTTTTTTTTTTTTTTCTGGGCAAATATTACATTATCATGTCACTATTTATTCAGCTTTTTTAAAATCTAGTATCGGAATCATTGATAATAGGAACTATGTTACCAGACAAACACTGGCAAAGCTCTGGCAACAGTTGCCATCTGAGACAGAAAGAAAAAATCTAATTATGTGGTAGATTCTCAACAGGTTTTTGCACAATCGGAGTCTGAAGAGCCATACTGCTCATGTCAAATTTGACATGACAGTAAGAACTGAGCTGTCAATACACACACTATGTTGCAACAGCGTGTTGGTTTCAATACTTCAATAGTCCTGGTGAGAATGAGGAAATCTTGGTGACCCACTGCAGTTACTAAACAGCTTGAGCGGGCACAAGGGTGAGCAGCTATCAAAAAAGACGAGCACAAGGGTAAAACATCAAGGGAAGGACTTCGACAGGCTGGAGAAATGGGCTGCCAGGAACGTCATATGAAGTTCAACAAGGAAAATTGCAAAGTGCTGCCCCTGGGGAGGAACAACCCCAGGCACCAGCGTACGCTGGGGAACGACTGACTGGGAAGCAGCTCTGCAGAGAAGGCTGCTGAGGATCCTGGTGAACACCAAGTTGAACTTGAACTAGCAACGTACCCTTGCAGCAAAAGAGACTACCAGTGTCCTGGGGTGCGTTAAGAGGAGTGTTGCCATCAGGTCAAGGGTGGTGATCCTTCCCCTCTACTCAGCACTAGTGAGGGCACACCTGGAGCACTGTGTCCAGTTCTGGCCTCCCCAGTACAAGAGAGATACGGACATACTGGAGAGAGTCCATTAAAGTGCCATTAAGATGGTGGAGGGACTGAAGTATACATCCTCTGAGGAAAGGCTGAGACAGCTGGAACTGTTGAGCCTGGAGAAGAGAAGGCTCAGGGGGGAGTCTCATCAATGTGTATCAATACCTGAAGGGAAAGGTGCCAAGAGGACAGAACCAGGCTCTTTCCAGTGGTCCCCAGTGCAGGAGGCAAGGGACACAATCTGAAACATGAGAGGTTCCCTCTAAGCATCAGGAAGCAGTCCTACTGTGAGGGTGACAGCGATGGCACGGGTTGCCCAGGGATGTTGTGGAGTCTCTATTCACAGAGATTTTCAAAAGCCACCTGGCCATGGTCCTGGGCAGCCTAGGTGTCCCTGCTTGAGCAGGGGGCTGGATGACATGACCTCCTGAGGTCCCCTCCCACCTGTCATGAGTAAGATTTTGTTACATGGCTTTGGTTTAGCAGCAATTTAGGATTTATTAATATTTTTGAGATAGATCACAAGATTAGATTGTATAATTATTAACAGCTCTTAATCATCAGCCAATTTAGCAGAGCGATTAAATGGAATTTGTTACAATCAAAATAGTGACTTATTTAAGGATTTGAGAATGGCAAGGGTCACCCGAAACTTACAGCAGGGTTGTACACACCAATGGAGGTTAAATAAAATCACAGGTACAGACAGACAAATGATTTGGAATCAAATTGCACGCAGACAGACAAATGGTTCTGAACCAAACTGTACACACATACAGAAATTAATCTATGATTAAAATTTCCCTTTTCATGAGTTTCATGTATTACTCACTTTTATGTGCTGACATTCACCAACAGACAGGTTGGTGAAGCTCACAACATCAGGCCTTTGAGTCCTTGTGAAATCATCAATGGCCAATCTTTCAATCCTCATGAAATCTGCCCTGAGAGGCATCTCAGCTCAGGGGGAGATACTGGGTCACAGCTCGCTACAGTCCCATAGAGCTCAAAAGGTCTCCCCTTCAGATAGCTGTTTATAGGATCTTGAGATGATTGGCTTTGGTTGGTACTCTCCACTCTGGCCACAATTTGTGCAGAACCATTCTGGTAGACAATTCCAGTAGCCCAGGTGTGACCAGGGGTTGCCTGATGCCCAAGTCACTGCACTTGTATCCAAGATAACAGCTCGGAGTGGTCCGGGCTGCTGCACCACCACACCACCTCAACCGTTCTGTGATCCTGCGCTGCCTCCTTCTCCAGGAAGCACATTCACATGCCAGCACTAGCACATGGGCAGCTGCAGGTGCTTACCTAAGCTAATTGGACAAAAAAAACAAACCAAAACAAAAAACTCCTGTACTTCCCAACTCACTGTGCTGTTGCAGAGCCAAGCCTGCTCCTGAGAAGTTTGGGACTGTACTGCTGGGGACAGAACTGCCTCTATGGGCAGAAACCTGCATTCAAAATGATTCCATGTGACCACAAAACCACAGCCCTGTTCCCAGCTGACATGAAGACAGTCACCACCACTCCCAAAAGCAAGCTGTGGCTCTATTATTTTGCATGAGAAAAGAGATTATTTGGCTGAAAAGTCACAAAAATCTCCCCACCATTGTAAAAAGCAGAGTTTTGACCATTTGCAGCAGCACCAGCAGGGATATAAACAGTGATGGCCCCTGTTGCGTTTCCAACCAGTGGTTCCACTCTGGTAGTGCTGAAACAGGTCAGAATATGCAATCAGCTTAAAGAGCAGAGGAATTGAAAGTACAAGACTCCAGACTGTTCTATGATTTATCCAATTAGCTTGTAATTGTTGACTTCCTTCTGCAACTGCCATTTTCAGCAATTTGTTCTCTCCAGGTGGTGATGTCCTTTAATTAAAATCAATTTTATGACATCCTACAGGCCTACACATGATGGAATATATATATTAAATTATGTGTGTGTGGGGGGGTTTGTTTGTTTTGTTTTAAGTTTTTTGCATAGACTACAGAAAGTGCATAAAAAGAAATCTTAAGGCTACACTCTAGTGTCACTGAACAAAAAATGAGTGAAAAATTCATATGTCCATAGCCCCAGGTAAGAGTAAACGGTCATCTAAAGACATCTAAAGTCTCTTCAGAACGTCTTTTCTGTGTGATACAGCACATGGAGTTTGGTGTTGGCTCTGGATGCCAGGCAGAGCAAAAGATGGAGAGATAACTCCTCTTGTGAGGGCACAGGGTGGATGCCAAACACAATCCTCCTTTCTAGGCCTGAGAAGCGTCGGATGCTGTCAAGAACAATGACGTTGTCTAAAACATTCTCCGCTTGCCCCAAGACCAACCTCACCTGGCATTTCCTTGTTTGTCTTCCTAGCTCAAGTTCCAGTACGTTTCTGAAGTGCTGGGCATCTTGCTGTGTGTTGCACAGGATTGCAATATCGCTGACAGGATGGCCTTGCTGGATGTAGCCATTGCACTGCCTGGTCACGTACTCTGCCATTTCAAATATTCCCATATTTTTTTTTATTATACAGTCACCTGAGAAAGAATGGGCACATTCAGCCTGTTTGAACAACAATTCCAGCACCTCATATGGCATATCTGTTTTACGTTCTTGGAGGATTTGCTCCATGAGATTAAACATGATATTGTATATTTGCTTGGCATTACGGACCACTTCGGTCAACCACTCCTGAGGATATAGTTCTGAAAAATTAAGACCACAACCATACAGGTGACTGGACTGGAAGAAATCCATGAAGACCCATAAATTGCCATTTTTTCCCTTGACTAGCTCCCAGGCACATTGGTACCAGTTTTCTTCAGGACGAAAATTCTGAGCTTCATCAACCACAATGTGTTTCACTTCTGGGAAGTTCCCTTTTAAGAAGGCAACACGTGTCACAGACTGGCAGATCTCATCTCTAAAACCAAACCAAAACAAAACAAAACCCCTCAGAAATACAGTAAATAAAAAGAAGATGCAACCAGACAAATGCGTATTGACTGTCTCCATTTCTCAGTGGGTTCTTGCTTCAAGGGCTATTGCTGCATACTGTCTAAAAACACAAAACTTCCTGTCAGCTGCAGCCATATCGTTTTCCTGGTGGAAACATTTATTCCAACAGATTGGCTGTATGCAGGCGGGGCTGCACAGCCTGCACAGCCCCTGCCAACTGCCTTTGGATCTACCCCAAGAGGACACTCGAACCCATCCTTCCTACCTGGGACCCCATGGCGAGGTTCCCCAGAGGTACCTCTGCCCGGCTCTCCCTGGCCCAGGGAAGGTACCTGAGCTCCTGTGGGAAGGACAGGAGCCCTGTTCTCCCCAGGCTGAGCGGGGACTGGCAGCACTCCTGCCTGGCTGTGTGCCTGCTGGGGCCATGACCTGCTCCCTGGGCACTGCCGCGCCTGAGCCAGGCTGCGGTCCCCTGATGCAAGGTGCCTCGTCCACCCCAGTGGCCTGCTGACATCTCCATGCTGACACAAGTGGAAACACAGTGAGAACAGGACTGGGGAACTGCTCTGCCTGAAATCCTCCACCAAAAGGCATTAGTTTCTGTTCTCCTTGTCTAGATGGCCCAGGTCCAATGACCAGTTCCCAGCACAGCTGCACAAGTGCTTGCATCAGGCCCAGCACAGGCAGAGGTGAGGCAGCACCAAAGGCAGGCGGATAGTTTTGGTGTCAGCACCATTCCGAATAGACTGTTAAACTACAGCCATCGTCTTTTGAAGGTCTAACATAATCCAGCGATCACTGAGCATGGGATTCTTACTGCAGTCAGTGAATGCTGGATCCGGGCCAGAGCTCAGCTCAAGAATATTTTCAATATTAACACCTTCATAGAGATTATTGTTGTGTACTTGTGGCAGCCAAAGTTAGATATTTGGCAAAAAGATGTAAAATCAGCAGGGCTTGTGCTCTATGTACAGATGATGGAATGAAAGAGAAAAGAGGAAATACACATTACTGCTTACCCTACAAACTCCTTCAAGGGTTTATTTTCACAAATGTAGAGTATCTCTTTTGCAGAACAGTGAAAAATGTTTCTTATTTTCTCAATGATCTTCAAAGCCACAATCGTTTTCCCCGTTCCAGGAAGACCAAGGACAAACTGCTTCTTAACTTTGTGCAGGTTCTTGGAGAGCAGCTCATACTGTTTGTAAGTGAGAAGGTTGAAAATCGTATAGCCGAGATGGTCACTTAAGTAGGACTTAAAGCGAAGCACAACAATCACAAGTGCACGCAGGAACGCGGGGATGTCCCTGGAGGTGAGGATGTAATCGGCTGGGTACAAGCTGGTGTAATCACACAGGTTTTCTTGGTTTTGTTGCTGAGGAACATCATCTTCTGCAGATTCCATCCAGTTCTTTGTGCCATTCAGGTGCAGTATTTGGGGAATCACACAGAGTTTTGAAGCATATCCACCATCATTGACTAGTTTCTGCTTTAATACAAAAGCAGTTTCTCTCAAGTTTTCCGACTCAGCAGAAGAGGCGTCCTTGACTACAGTGTACAATACTGGATACGCATTTTCAGCTACCAAGAGAACATCACACACAACATCCTTTTTTCCCCACAATCCAATGTCAACAGCCCAACTCCTTGAAAATATCAGTACCCCCTTTTTAAGCGGATGGATTTGTCTTTCCATTAAATCCTTTAATCCAGGATACTCTGAGAACAGGTCAGTGCAGATGGTTTCTGGCTTCCATTTGATTTGATTAGAACCCACTAAAAAAAAAAAAAAATAGAAAAGCAAAATACAGCAAATAATTTAATCAACACACCAGTTACTGGAGGAATATATTACACCATGAGGTCATCAAAGTAAGTGATTTAGTGCGAGTAAAAAATTCAGCATTCCCACAATACCTGGCGATAAATCTGTAAGGATTTTTTGTATGAGTAAAAGAGGTATAAACTCCATGCTTCAGGCATGTCTGACTTGTAAATGGAATAAGAAAAAGGCTCTTTGGAGGGATCTGCCTCTTTCTGTCTGTCCTCTCATTATTTAGGCAATCCTCTGGCGGGTATGTTACTGCCACAGTGAGAGATGGGTGGTTGAAACAGAAGGAGCAGTGGCTTGCAGCATCTCCTACACTCCTGACTGGTAAAACACAATGCATATCTCAAGGGGAAAGGCACCTTGGAGCATCATCAGTATCTTGATGTATAGATACACATTCCTATTAAATACAGGGGAATAGAATACATGAAGATACTTCTCATCCCAACGCTAAACTTGGTGCTCTTCCAAAATAATCATAGAACCACAGAATGGTTTGGGTTGGAAAGGACCTTAAAGACCATCCAGTTCCACCCCCCTGCTGTGCACAGGGTTGCCAGCCACTAGATCAGGCTGCCCAGGGCCCCATCCAACCCGGCCTTGAACGCCTCCAGGGATGGGGCATCCACAGCTTCTCTGGGCAACCTGGGCCAGTGCCTCACCGCCCTCTGGGTGAAAAAGTTCCTCCTCATATCCAACCTAAATCTCCCCTCTCTTAGTTTAAAACCATTTCCCCTTGTCCCATCACACCTGCCCATGGCAAAAGTCGCTCTCCCTCCTGTTTCTAAGCTCCCTTCAAGTACTGGAAGGCCACAGTGAGGTCTCCTCCAAGCTAAACAAGCCCGGCTCCCTCAACCTTTCTCCATAAGAGAGGTGCTCCAGCCCTCAGATCATCTTCCTGGCTCTCCTCTGGACCTGCTCCAACAACTCTACATCTTTCTTGCGTTGGGGGCTCCAGGCCTGGACACAAGACTCCAGATGGGGCCTCCCAAGGGCAGAGTAGAGGGGGACAATCCCCTCCCTCGCCCTGCTAGACACCCCTCTCTTGATGCAGCCCAGGACACAGCTGGCCTTCCAGGCTGCAGTTGCATGCTGCTGGCTCATGTCGAGCTTCTCGTCCACCAAAATAACAAGTAACAGCAATTTTAAAAAATATTGACACAAATCCTCTCTTAAATTTACAGCTTAAAATTTACGCCTTAAAATTACAGCTATGCACATTCATAACAGACAGACAAATCTCAAATACATTTCTGCTGGTTGTGTTGCAGCCTTCCATTTAAAAAACACATTCTCATTAAGAAACAGCAATTGCATATCCTGTACCAAACCACTATTAACCCATCAGTAAACCGATCATCTGAGAGGAATCTGGAAACAGATATTAAAAGATAACAAAATGATAAGAATAAAAAGAAAAATTAGCAATTAATACATACATTCATAGGTCAGAATTTGGGAAAAAATAATCCATGGACTAAGTTTACTGAGAAAGTATCTATCTGCTATTAATCAGAGTGGTTTTGATACTGCACAAGGACCTGGAATTCCATGTCTCTCCCATGTGTCTCAGAGCTTGACGTAAAGCCACAGCCCTGCTCTGCAGGAACATTACAAGATTTCCATCACCCTTGGCTACTTCAATTCTCTTGTCTTTCAGGGCTTGGTATGTGGGAGTATCTGTTGCTCAGCAACCATCACTGCTTTTATAGCTGAAGTGTTTCTGAAATAATCAAAGTCTTCACCTAAAAAATAAAAGCAAGGCAAGGTTCTCCACCCTGCATGGTGAGGGCTGAGCTTTACTTACCCTTGTGTATCCCTGCCTGCAGTTCTCCTGTAGCCGTGGGCAGGGTGGCAGAATTAACTCCCTGGGTGAGATAAATGTGTAAAGCCAATCTGACACCCCAACGGTTGGTGCTTAGCCCTGCAGAGCAGCAATCCAGCATGGCCTGTACCAAGCCATGGGGAGTGTACTGAGTTTGAAAGGTCTCAGGTTGGAGGCTTGTCTGGTTGCTTTGTTTGAATTTTTGTTGACTTGTTTGGAGCTTTGTTTTTGCTTGCTTTATCCGTAAAAGCATTTTTTTCTAATAACCAGGTGGGTGTGGATTACAACCATAAATTTATACAGAGAGTAGCCACAAGCAGGTCTTCTGCACAGGATGAGACCTTTCATGATGATGCAGAGTGCAGACATACAGGTCTGGTAGGACAGTGGAGCTCTTGAGATGTGGGGTACAAGATGCAGTGCTGAATTCAGGTGTGGGGTAGTGAGAGACAGAGTACAGGAGATCCCGAGGCCAGAAACAGCTCTCAGATGGTCAGATAAAGAAACGCAGCAGCCCTGGACCTGAACAAAACTGGTTTTAGGGATAACAGAGAACAAGTATCTGACTTCCAGGAAACACAGGGTGTTTACTGAACTCTGGTGGAGCGGTGAACTTGCAGGCCAGTGAAGAAAGAACAAGGTGTGAAAGTGCATAAGCAAACCTTACAGCAACTGACCCCAAGTGGATCCATCAGCATCAACTGCGTAATCCCAATGAAAGAACCAGGGATGCTGATGACGCCCTCACAACCCCTGGCAGAAAGGAGCCACCAACAGCAGGATCCTGTGTGGTGGTGGAAGGCTGAGTGTAACGCCAGGCACAGGGGCGGACACTGTGTGTCCAACCAATCGAGAGAGGCGATTCTGCCCCTCTGCTCTGCTCTGGTGAGACCTCACCTGGAGTACTGCGTCCAGTTTTGGAGCCCTCAACACAAGAAGAACATGGACCTGTTAGAACAAGTCCAGAGGAGGCCATGAGGATGATGTGAGGGCTGGAGCAGCTCTGCTGTGAGGACAGGCTGAGAGAGTTGGGGCTGTTCAGCCTGGAGAAGAGAAGGTTCTGGGGTGACAGCAGCCTTCCAGTACCTGAAAGGTGCCTGTAAGAAGCTGGGGAAGAACTGTTCACAAGGGCACGGAGCAATAGGACCAGGGGTGATGGTTTTAAACTAGAAAAGGGCAGATTTAGGTTGGATATTAGGAAAAAGTTCTTCAATATGAGGGTAGTAGATTATTGGAACAGGTTGCCCAGAGAGGTAGTGGAGGTCCCATCCTTGGAGATATCCAAGGTCAGGCTTGATGGGGCTCTGAGCAACCTGCTCTAGTGAAGATGTCCGTGGTCACTGCAGGGAGTTGGACTAGATGACCTTTGAAAGTCCCTTCCAACCCAATACATTCTATGATTCTATGAAACTAGGAAACGTGCAAGTAACTATTATTATTACTTTATTTTTTTCACAGTGGTATTAATTTATTGTCTTTTTCTTTCTTTCTCTGTAGTAACTAGATCTTGACTAAAAATAATTCTTTGATTAGACTTTGATTGGAGTTCAGTTATGCTATAAATAAATTATTCTCTCTCTTTTTTGTCCGTAAGAAGACTTTTGAGCATAGCAGGGCCCAGACAGTGCTCAAACCCCTGGGACACCAGGTATATTCTCAGCAGTTGTGTGCATTAGGGATTATACTTAGTGGCAAAAACAGGAGAAGAGTTCAAAACACATGAAAAATCAAGGAAATCCACATTCTTGGAGCAGTTGCATCTTTTAAATACCCTAACAGTTGTTTGCCTAAAATCTTATATCACGTTATCTTCTTAGAAGTTCTGTCAAATACAATCTTAAATTCAAAAAGAGATCCAGAATAAATGGCTTACCTGGGTAAAGGTATTCTTGGAGTTCAGACACACATGGGAGACCAGCTTTTGAATAAACTGGCTTAACAAGAGGAGGACCATTTGCCAAGCTGAGCTCATTCTCAAATTTATCAGCCAGATCTGAAATATCTTGGGGGAAGAAAAAAGTATGTTATACCCATCAAAATCCTTCCATGTGAACTTTTAAAACCCAGCACTAAAGAGTAACTAAAATGATGAATTTCATTTTAGTCTCCCTTCGCAATCCTACCCAAGAAAATGCTGCCTACGTGGTTAAGAATGACAGTATTGCAGCAAACCAACAGGATCTTCAGTTGCTGAAGAAGACAGAGGGCTCACAGCATAGATTTTACAGTTCAAAAGCAAGATCCAGACCCTACATGGGAGGACTCTGTTGAGACCCCAGTGCACAGGTAAGAGACACCTGACACACCAGTTCAGCACAGCAGCACCCTACGGGAACCACCTACGTGTCCCACGGGTCTCTTCAGTAGATGCTCATCTCCAGAAGACCTTGCTGCTTTGTCGCCCTCCTACCAATATCACCCCCTCTGTCTTTTGTATGACTATGTCCTCTGAAGAGACACCTCAGCCCTCTGCCTGGCATGGCCAGGGCAGTAGGTCCCCTCGGCCAGTATATTCCTTGCTCATTCAGTCACCGCCACAGGGACACACTCGGGGGAAATCGGTGTTACAGGGAACCTGTAGGAGAGGAGGGTTAGTTTTACGTTAAGACTGAAAAACTCTTATTCAAGTCCATGGTCAGAATAAACTCTCTAGGACCCACCATACAGGTCTTGTTGTGGGGTGATGGAACAACATGCAGAACATGGCTTATGAAGAGGAAGGATTTCACAGTGAAGCAGGATAACGTGCCTTGAAACAAGCAAACTCTGCTCCTTCCAAACAGCCTTTAACAGCCACGGAGCCACAGGCCGGCTGTGCAAAGTGACATTTTGGTAGACATCTGAAACACATCTGAGCCTGGGAAAGGGGGAGTGGTTTGCAGCCTGCTGCCCACTGAGCATTGCTTGCTGAGCTGCAGACTTGAAAGGACTTTTCGCAACCTCAAGCTGATGCCTGAAGAGACAACTGAGAAGGTTTTAGTATCTACCCTAGTGTTGGTGACTTCATTACAGATAGAATCATAGAATCATTTTGGTTGGAAAAGACTTTTAAGATCAAGTCCAACCACAAACCTCACACTGCAAAGTCCACCTCTAAACCACATCTCTAAACACCACATCTACACATCTTTGCCCTGGTTTCAGGCAGGATAGAGCAAATTTTCTTAGTAGCTAGAATAGTGCTGTGTTCGTGTTTCAGTATGGGATTTGGTATGAGAAGATTGT